GGGGGGTACCATATATATATATAGAAAAAAAAGGGTTTCCCCAATATAGTAACTTAATGGAAAGTTCCTTAACAGCAACCCAGTAAACCCCAGTTGCTGAGTTCCCTGGCCCCAAAAAGGTTAACCGTTCTATTACAATAGGACTGCATATTATGTTCCCCGAAAGGTTAAAGGTTACCTACCCAGCTACTAAGAAACTCTGTTAAGAGGGTTTGGCAGGCTCGGCGGCAGGAGTTGCAGCCCCATGAGAGTCCTCTTCCGCAACTGCATCTATGATCAACAGCAACGACGGGAATTTGTGTAGATTTGGAACCCTGAGCCCTGAACAGCTAAAGTTGACTTGCGCAACCCTAAGCCCTGAACTAGGGCAGGTTTGGGGCCCCTCCAAAAGAATCTCTATGGCGCTATCGGCGCTACATAGGGAAGGTAGCAGCAACTTAAAACGATTTGCACACCTAGCCCTGTAAACCCTATAAACTTTAGACAATTCCTCGGGTCCTGAAGCTCGAGCTTGTCTTTCATGTGTACCAGCCGCACCGCATACGCCATAGGCCCGTCCGCTGAACCTTAGGCTAAACCCTCTAGGTTGGTCCCTAAAACCCCTTGAAAAATATTAGTATATATGGTCCCCTATTAAAGCCATTAGGGAAAATATTAAATACCCCAGGGGCCTACACAGCCCTAAACCCTTTTAGGGCTTATAAGGCTCAGGGTGTTGGGAGAGGGAGGTCGTGGAGGTATATAGTCCACCTTAAGTAGATAGAATCTGGGGCATATGGGGATCTTATTTCAATATAGCCAGAGCCATATTCTATCTACTTAACGGGAATATAAGCTGTCGGGATTAGAGGGTTTAGGGCTTGGGATACGTTAAGGGGTGGAGGTTTAGGCCTTTTAGGCTTCCAAGTTCGAGGTTTGACAAGAGGGGTTGAGGTTTGGGCCTTTAGCTTTGGGGTTGATAGGAACAGAACGCACGACCCTATGTCTGAACTCACCTTTACAATTTTCATCCCACAGCTCTTAACCCAAAACTCTGAAGACTCTGCAAACCCTCAATCCTAAACTCTGAAAATTTGCAGCCTGAACCCGGAGCCCTTTCAGTTGGACCTGTGACCCATTATGGGTTCCCCTACTATCCCTAAGTTACCCCTTAATCAACCTTGATAACTTGCGGGAGGCATGCAGGGTGTAGTATCAAGCAAGGTAATAGGGGAACTCTAAACCCTAAACCCTATACCTTAGGAGGACCCCCCCACCCTGTAATAGTGGGATAATAGGAGTCTAAGCGGACCCTAGCATCATCCCTATTATCCCCTATAGTCACTATTACAGGGTGGGGGGTCCACCTAACCTATACCCAGCAACCGGCACATCTTCCAAGGAATCTCTTCACATCTCTGTTCACTACCAGGTCCTCCGCCTCTCGAGCCATCAGCCAGAACTCAAGCAGCTCCCCATTCAAGCGATAGATGCGGATGTAGGTCATGCTATTCCTTAGGTGGACCTCCCCCAACCCAGGGTGGGGGATCCTCCTAAGCTATTCCGTACTGGTGGTTGGTAGGGCATAAGCGAATATAACCCCATATGACCTACCTACCATCAATATTCCCTACATAGTTTAAAGGACATGGGTTCCTTATTGGGGACTATATTAGGGACTATACTAAACTACAAGAAGGGCCTGATACCCACTGCTAAGGGTCCTATCTAACCCCTATATTGACTTACATCTTACGCAATGATGATAGCAATAACAGTAGTAACAACAATTAGCAGCACATCTTCCTACCCTAGCCCTGGGTCCTGAACCCTAAACCCTGAACCCAAAATCCTGTTCCTATATTCCCTACCAACCACCAGTGAGACTCAACAACTTCAGAGAGATGTTGAGCGCGCTGGCCCGCTGAACGACTGCGCCTCCCCTTCCGAGCTCCTTGTCCACCAGTGCGCTCAGCTCCTCTTTCCTATGTTGCTTGCAGCATCGCTGCTTGAAGCATGTGTTTACTTCAAGTATGGAAAATAGGAATTCCACACATGTGGTATCATATTAATATGAACTATAGTCTAAACTCCTGGTATCCCCCTCAATAACCCCCTTAAAAAAGTTCAGACTATAGCTCATACAGTATGAGGTTGCCTCTCTGGCCGTACTTCAAACCTAGTTTTCCTATGCTATACAGTAGCCCTGCTTCTCACTGTGCTCGGGCTCGGGCTCGACGTCGAATGCTACGCCCGCCCTCTTCTCTGGCATGTTCCTCTCTGCCCTCTCCTCTGGCATCTCCACCCCATCAGGCATGACCTCAATTGCCAAGGGCCTGGGCTCTGTTGAAGGTATCAAGTAACACTATGTCTACGTGCTAAATGGGCTCACCCAAAATACAAAACAACTCATCACAGAGATGCCCCAAAAAAGGATCCCTGATATTTTGTGAGCTTCGGTATTCAAAGCAAGGTAACCTGTTGTTCATCCACTCCAAGGAGCTCAGGTTGTGTCTTCAGCTTCTTTGGTGGAGCGGACTGCTCCGGTTCGGCCTCCTCATGCTGCTGCTTGGCCTTGTGGGCATCCTCCAAAATCTGCCTTTTGCGTCTGTCATTCCAGTCCCTCCTATGTTTCGCCATAACGCGGACATGCGAAGAAGACATCAGATGCTCTTGGAACTGAAGCGTTGTGGGGAATGACTTCTTGCAAATGAGGCAAGCCAGAGGCTTCATCCAGCTCTCCAGGGAAGGAGTTTCATCTGGGATCGATGCCAGCTGCTCCTCCGTCCATGCAGCAACATCTGCCATCAGGCAATCCGAGGGCTAAGCCTGCTTGGGAGCAAAGGTGGGAGTGCAAAGCATGCAAAGCCAAAAGGCTGCCGAACGCACCTCGTGGAGCAAAGCACCAGTGCTCAAAACTTGCAGAATCAGGTCAAGCCCTGTAATAAGAAAGCCCTCTTTAAGGGGTTGGGACCATGGCTCATATGTATTTTGTACACCTCCCTGTGAGTTTCAGCAAGGTTCACCGCCCACGAATCTTGGCTGGTGTTTCGGAGTCAAGGCAACATGTACCCTAGACCTTTAAGGGGAACTCCCTTGAGAAACCCTAGTTTTGAGTATTGACACTATTGTGATGACAGTGGGCCTGCGCTAAGAGAGCGCCAGTGCTAGCACAAACAAATCTGAGCTTAATTTGCCCTAGGACCAGGTTAGGCTTCGGGGCCCTATGGGTTTAGTGTTGGCTCTATAGGGTTTGGTGATTCGGTGGTAATCAATCAACCCCACTGTAAAATGATGTCCCAACATTTGTCCACAACACCCTAAACCCTAAACCCTCGTCCTGAAGCTGCTGTGACTTCAATTCATGACTCCAAAGCAGTAACCCGAAGATGCGTAAGCTAGATCTCCCTACGTCGCACTAGCAAGGAACCACACGAAGCCCACTTCAACAACAGGAGTTTTTGTGGAGTTTCATTTCGGGGTTGCATGTTTGCTGCGAAGGAGCGAGCGGACCTTTGAAAGGCCCTTAGGGGCATCCGGAAGCTTGAAATCAGGACTTGCTGTTCAGGAACTTTGACGAAATTACCATGACATGGGTATGTAGTAAATTCTATGGTTGCTTGTAACGGTGGAATGATTCTAGTTCATTAACAGAACCCAAGAATGTCCCCGAACTCGACCCCTGCCGGTGTTTTCCTGTTTCCCCAACAAATCCCTCCGCCTTTTTGGAAAATAGCCAACATGCCAACGTCAGGAAGTCGGGGGGGGGGGTCCTTGAAGTGGGGGGCACCCTGAGCAGTATGGGGTCCCATTTGCTGCAAGGACTTTTTTTATGAACACTGCTACATTGCTGAATCCTTCACAGACACGTCCAGCACGTCCCTCAAACCCTAGACCCTATTCCCCGCACCGCGTGGCCCCACAGTTTAAACCCAGTGCACTCCCCTACAAACCTGTGCACCTAAGCATAAGACCTGTAGAAGCCCCGACAGACCCACCATTGCAAGACAGCAAATTCTCCCCATAAACCCGAACTACTAATGAGTATGTTGCGAAGACCACAGACTATCGACAGCAATAACTCCATACACAAGACTTCAAGATATTGATTACCTGGTTAGCATCTGCCTTTTCCCTACCGAAAACTCTACTCCCTTAATCGTCGCAAACCTAGAGCCCCTAAACCAACCCCTTACAAACATAGGCCCTAGAACTCTGAACCCTTCATCTGCCCCAAAACCACAAAACCAGAACCCCTAAAACCCATACTTCCTAAATAGCCATAAAAATCCTGAACCCTAAACCCTATAAATCCAGCAAAGGCAGCAGCACAGCGACTCTGGCCTTTTCCAGCATCCTCCGCGTCTCGATCGTCGACTTCAACTCCTTTTGGAAGTCCTGCACCTCTCGTCAGATGTAGGCTTAAGCTTAGGGTTAGGGTGTAGGGTTTAGGTTTCATTTCTTCAACAGGGCAGTCTAGCAGATTTAGCTGAGAAGGCCGACTGATGAAGCCAAGACAGCTTTTTGTTTCAGATGAGTTTTGAGATTCTTCACCCTACCCCCTAAACCCGAAACCCTCAACCCTTACGGGATAAGGATCCCCTCCTCCCTTCCGTGGGAATAAGAGCCAAGTTTCGCTGCTTCAGTTGAGCTATTAAGAAGCCCCATAATAGGAACCCTATACGAGCCATAGTCTAAACTCCTAGTATCCGCCTTAATAACCCCTATAGTAGTCCCCTTATATGTTCCCTATATAGTCCCCTTTGAGGAGTTTAGACTACAGCTCATATAATCTACTATATAACCCCTTTTTAGGCATTCAGGCCACAGCTCAGTTGTCGAATGGCTCTTGCTTTCCGTGCAGATCTTCTCTAGCATTCCCCAGGGATCCAAATAGCCCAATGTAGGTAATCTTTACAGATGTTGGGGCCCAATGTAAGTATTATTTACATACATGGATCCCTAGGGATTATGTCTGATTCCACCTCGAAGGCAAAACTCAGATGAGCGAGTTGGACGTTTATAATTACGGTAACTGACGTTTGGGCTCATACCTAAACTCCCTTCCGTGAAGCCTAAACCCTGAGCCCTGAACCCTAACCCTGAGCCCAAAAACCTAAACTCGAATCCCGAAGCCCTAGCTCTACACCCCAAACCCTAAATGCTACACCGGCTACACCCTAAACCCATGGAAAACTCATCTCATGTCTCACGCAGTGCCTGGAGCAGAATTCGCTCGACCGCTTCGTCATGCTCTGCTTGGAGCATCTCCAGCTCCTTCTCCACCTGAAGGTGTTGGGTTGGAGGGTTTGGGGGTTCAGGGTTGTGGGGGGGAAATAGTAATAGTAATAATAGTAATAACAATAATAGTAACAATAATAACCATGATAATGACAATAGTTGTGTACTGCCCGCCCAGTAACAGTCTATATCAGGGGTCCTTTGAAGGGCTATATAGAACCATATTGTAGTTATTATCCAACTGTTACTGAAGGGGGGCAGTACTGAAACAATAGTAATTACAATAATAAGAATCAGTGTAGGAAAGGCTTTAAGGTGTGGAGGTTTAGGACTTAGGAGTGGCAATTTGAAGGCTCCAGGTTTTCTTTTTCCGACTGTTTAACCCTTATCCCCTAAAATCCGGGCTTTAGGGTCAAGATTTGACTTTAGAGGTACACTGAACCCTAACACCCTAAGCCCGAAACCCCCAAACTCCAGAGCTATATGGGAGTACTACGGGGATTCTGAAGGATTCTAGGTTAGGTGGCTTGGGGATCGGGCTGGGTTTTAAGGGTTCTATTGCAGCTCAGGGCTGCGGGTTAGGAGTTGGATTAGGTTTTGGGGCTCAGGGTTTAGGGGTTAAGGTTTAGGGTTTAGGGTTTAGGGTTTAGGGTGGGGTTAAGGATTTTTAGGACTCTGATTGGGGCATAAGACTAATAGTCTGTCCTGGCTTTGCAGGCGTTTAGGTGCGCATGATTAGGTTTAGGAGTCTGGGCTGGTGGGTCATTCCCACCTACAGTGAAAGTTACCGCAAGAAATACTAGGAGTTACAACAGTCTCTGAATCAAGCATCTGAAAGGGACAGCTGCCATAAGGAGGAATGACCCAAAGTTTACGGTCATGCTGTTTTAGGGCTGCTAAACCCTAATCCCTAAACCCGAATCCCTAGACCTTCAACCCCAAACCCTAAACGGCTCAGGGCTTTAGGATTCAGAGTGTAGGATCTGCACCTCAAAGGCTTGGAGCTTGGGCACACCTTGAAACTTACCACTCCCAACATGCTATGGTGGTAAGTTACAAGATGTAATTTTGTAGTATAGAAGAAGACTAGATAGAAATCATGTACTATAATTTAGACCAGGAACATGATATGGAACAAAATAAAAGATAATATGTTATGGTGTCATATCGAAAACTCCCCATTGTCAGGTCTGAGCTGAGGTACCTCTGGCAGCATATCTTCTGAAAGTCTTTGCTGCTAAGTTCATTCCCCTTATACTGAAGAGGGCATTTTGTACGGTGGGAACAAGTAAGAAGTTATTCTTTCAAAAGAACTATAACCAAGAGGAGGAGAACCTACTCCTGTTCTATATATGGGGAGAAAGCAAAGTTTATTCGGTAGAGAACTTGGTAAGCCCAGCAGCCGAATTCGGATCATGTAGATTCCCCGTTTCGATGGAGGGGGTTGCCGAACTCCTCTTACTAAGTTCATCTCTACTCAGACGACATGCTTCCGGCGCCTTCCTTTGTTGCGCCTCCTGCAGAAGTGCCCGTAGCTCCTCGTCATCATCCACGGTGATTTAGGTGCTTCAAGGTTCAGGGAACTTCGTAAGTAGGTGGGCTATAAGTCCCCTAGTTGGAATCGCTCTCTGAATACCCCCGGCCGTATTTACCGTCTTGGGCCCCTTAAGGGACGAAAGGCATACAATTTTCTGGATTGAGGTGGATCATTGAGGTTTCGATCTAAAGGATTTGAGAAGATTGGTGTTTTTCATTTTTGGAGGAGCCTCCTGAGCAGTTTTTGTTGAACAAAGCTCATAGTGGAGTTGCTACTGTTGATATGAGTCGTAATCTAAACTCCTAGTATCCCCCTTAATAACCCCTATAGTAGTCCCCTATATAATCCCCTATATAACTCCCCTTTAAGGAGTTTAGACTATAGCTCATATGGAGGAAATCTCTCACCACCTCCGAGGGCTTACCGTACCCGGGGATCCCAAGTGTCCACTGTGGAATGCGGTGTCTTTGTGGGAGGGTTGTGGGGAACGGTGGTACCTGTCAGATTGGAGATTGACAATTGAAGGGAAACTGCGCTTCCTGCGTGAGGAAGCCTTGCACCACAATCCAAGACCTGCAAGACTGCACTTGCGTGGGCTATGCTGTATCCTTTGTTTTACCGGCTGTAGCAGAAGTTTGACTAAATAGCTGCGAGCACCGTGCCGCCTACTCATTTTCCATTGCAGCGTAGCTCTTCTCAAACGATGCCTTCGAAGCCACATGAGTGTTCAAAGCCACCCCTGCCCCATACTACACAATAGAAGTCTGCAGCCGATTTCGTCCCTGGTGAGTGAGTCTCCGTGCCTCAGAATCCAAGGCAGCATCCGCAACATCCCAACGCAGCTGCTTCTCCTTGCCGACGAGAGGGAAACCATCAGCAAGACCATCATAAACCATGATGGCAGTGGAAACTTTCCCTTCGGATCTGAGTCTCCAAATGCTTTTTGACTTAAAGACGTGCTTGGGCGGGACTCGCGCTAACTCCTCTGTAAATGTTTACAGAACAACTTCCAAACTCTGATGTTGCAAGC